ACAGTCCGGTCTTTAAACACTTTAACAATGAGCCGCTCTTCAACATGTAACGAATTCTGCTGTTTTGCTGATACTCGCTCCATGGCTCCGAGCGCCAACAATCATCCCGCGTTCAAAGGCTGTTACATCGCGTTGTTTCCCCGAATCTTCAGAAATCACTTCTACTGTCGTGGTAACCAACCCGCTTCCCTATTTATAATGGTCTGGCCCTCTAGCAACTTCAGCGCCAAATTATAGCTAATCTGCCTACAAACGTCAGGTGGTCATAATAATCCGGCCACTCAGTGTATATAATAATCCGGCCACTCGGTGTATATAATAATCCGGCCACTCGGTGTATATAATAATCCGGCCACTCGGTGTATATAATAATCCGGCCACTCGGTGTATATAATAATCCGGCCACTCGGTGTATATAATAATCCGGCCACTCAGTGTATATCTCCTGCTAACAGTCCTGATGTAATCTAATTTAATATTATGAGAAATGCTGGAAACTAGCCACAGCAATGTCACCAATTCAATCCATAAAGTGGCCTCTTCCTCCCACACGGTATATGGTGGCAGGTACACTTGTCTGGCTCCTCAGCCCTCTCTGTACCTCTCTGTCCATGGAGACATGCAATCTGAGCACGGTTACAGCTGGCCATGAAACCTGAAGAGGCTCAGGGGTCTGATTTATGACTGCGGCCCTTGCTCCATTCCAGACACTTTGCTTGGGAGACTCACGGCAAGTTTTGGGTGAAGTGGAGGAGCTTAAATGAGGCCGGGCACTTAGTAATGCATGAAGACAGCTATCAGGTTCACCTCCATTTTTAACGTGCTGTGAAAGGTCCAAAGCCGAGATCTAGAACAAAAAAAACTGTCTGGGCAGATTGCGCAACAAGCCGGATAATTAAAGCAGAACTCTGTGTAAAAATGTTATTAACCCTTCCAGTGGTGCTACCCCCGCACTGCAAGGGTGAAGTGCTCATTTTGCCTAGAGTCATAAATATCAAAGTTATACTGATCCTCTGGCTCACACATCAGCCACATCAGTTCCCCCCTTTTACATCAGAGTCCCCGTACATGTTAGAAGCCCCTTCTTCACAGGAGAGCTCCCCCTTCACGTCAGCGTCCTCCGTTCCCCCATTCACGTCAGAGTCCTCCGTTCCCCCATTCACGTCAGGGTCCTCCGTTCCCACCTTCACGTCAGAGTCCTCCGTTCCCCCCATCCACGTCAGGGTCCTCCGTTCCCCCCTTCGCTGTGGTGACAACCCCTCAGTGGGTGGTTCTAGGACAGCCTGAACTCACAGTATGTCCTCAGTCTTCTGGGCTGAATGACGCTGGTTGAGAGCACATCTACCACACAAGACAGCTCCATAGAGGAGGCAAGTATTTCAGCCAGAGCTGATATTTTATTTTTAATCCATCTGGGGGCACCATTAAAAATAAATAATAACCCGGAGTTGGGCTTCAGTTGCCTCTATACCAGTTTGGAGGCAGTGATTCAGTACGTACTTAAAATCAAACCCTCATAACGGCAGATATATATTTTTATCAACCAATCAGATGTGCTCAGTGAGAGAAGCTTGACTGAACCCGTTCTAGAACATCCCACACAGCCATCATTTCAGCATGCTAATGATGACAGTAGTAGAGGAAAGGGTTAAAGGACGTGACACGGGGAGGTGTCGGATGAGTTAGGGCCGGAGTGTGGCCCCTCCCGGGGTGAACGGGTCCACCTGTCGCAGTTTGGAGCATGAGAAAATAGGCAGGAATGAGCAGAATCCTGGCCGCGGAGACCCAATCCACCAACTGCGGTAAGAGAGAAGCCGCTAATGATTGCTGCTAGCTACAGGGATTATGTCATCGCCCCGAGCCTGCGCCCCCCCCCCCAGAGGACAAGAGCCGTCCTACAGACACAGGGGCCCGGCACTGACACCCGGCCCAACAAACAAACTAAAGTAAGATCACAAACAAGACTTCTTATAAGGGGGGGACCGCTTCCTTCTCATACAGGGTAAGGTAGCAGCAGAGACCCCACCCCAGGACAACTACACCGATCTGCCAGAACATTGTGACCACTGAGAGGTGACGGGAATAAATGGGGGATATATTAGGCAGGAAGTGAACATTTTGTCCCTGAAGTTGATGTGTTGGAAGCAGAAATAATGGACAAGTGGGAGGATTTGAGGGACCAAATTGTGATGTCTAGACGACTGGGTCAGAGCAACTCCAAAACTCCAGCACTTGTGGGATGTCCCCGGTCTGCAGTGGTCAGGACCGACCAAAAGTGGTCCAAGGAAGGAAAACCGGTGACAGGGTCATGGGCGGCCGAGGCTCATTGATGGACATGGGGAGTGAAGTCTGGCCCGTGTAGTCCGCTCCAATAGAAGAGATACTGGAGACCAGATTGCTGATAAACGTAATACTGGTTCTGATAGGAAGGAGCCTGAACACGCAGAGCATCGCAGGTTGCTGTGTACGGGGCTGTGCAGCCGCAGACCGGTCAGGGTGCCCATGCTGACCCGCGTCCACCACCAAAAGCACCTACAATGGCCATGTGGGCATCAAAACTGGACCACGGAGCAATGGAAGAAGGTGGCCGGGTCTGATGAATCATGTGGATGGCCGGGTGCGTGTGTGTCACTTACCTGGGGAAGAGATGGCACCAGGATGCACTATGGGATAAAGACAAGGGGGCGGAGCCAGTGTGACGCTTTGGGCAATGTTCTGCTGGGACACCTCGGGTCCGGCCATTCAGGTGGATGTCACTCTGACACGGACCACCGACCTAAACATTGTCCCTGACCAAGTCCCCCCCTTCATGGACACGGCATTCCCTGATGGCAGTGGCCTCTTTCAGCAGGATAATGAGCACGGCCACACGGCACACATGGGTGAAGAATGGTTTGAGGAACACGAGTTTGAGTTCTTTCACACATGGAGACTCAGCATCACATGTGGGCATTACATAGGGTGGTCTCCATGGATATGCAACCTGCCCAAGAATGCCCAAGAATGACCCGCCCATCAAGGCATTCTGATATCTGTATTAGTCCTCCCAAGAAGCAGCACACTGCTTGCATCAGGGCCATGGAGAACTGGAGCCAACTTCCAACATGCAAGAGACTGCTACAGACCATGTCCATGGTACGAGGGACTGCTAGAGACCACGTCTATGGTACGAGGGACTGCTAGAGACATCGTCCATGGTACGAGGGACTGCTAGAGACCACGTCTATTGTACGATGCACTGCTAGAGACCACGTCCATGGTACGAGGGACTGCTAGAGACATCGTCCATGGTACGAGGGACTGCTAGAGACCACGTCTATTGTACGATGCACTGCTAGAGACCACGTCCATGGTACGAGGGACTGCTAGAGACATCGTCCATGGTACGAGGGACTGCTAGAGACCTCGTCTATTGTACGAGGCACTGCTAGAGACCATGTCCATGGTACGAGGGACTGCTAGAGACCACGTCCATGGTACGAGGGACTAAAAGAGACCACGTCCATGGTACGCGGGACTGCTAGAGACCACGTCTATTGTACGAGGCATTTGCAAGAGACCACGTCCATGGCACGAGGGACTGCTAGAGACCACGTCCATGGTACGAGGGACTAAAAGAGACCACGTCCATGGTACGAGGGACTAAAAGAGACCACGTCCATGGTACGCGGGACTGCTAGAGACCACGTCCATGGTACGAGGCACTGCTAGAGACCACGTCCATGGTACGAGGGACTGCTAGAGACCACGTCTATGGTACGAGGGACTGCTAGAGACCAGTTACAATTTATCTGCCAAGTTATACAAGACTGGTGAAGACTGCTGCCTGTTACAAGAGACAGAGAGGCTTCTGCCAGGCCAGCACAGGCTGATGAAGACGGACTTATTATTTACATGACACGAGCACAAGGCACGCTTCCCTCCAAGAGCTGAATGCCAAGTAGAAACAAGTCCCTGATCCATACCATGTGATTTACACACGTCTACCACAATGTACAGCCAGGAACGTCACTCCACTATTTCCTGATCCAGCCTCACAGCTCGTCACCCAGGTCTGGTCTGTGTAAATGCTTATGGACCGGCCCAGCTAGTTGGAAAGGCTGGTTAAACAGGAAGTGATATTGCCTGGAGACAGGAAGTGAGAACCCCCCATGTGTTGTGGAAGGGGGCAGAGCCTCAGACTGGAAGGAAGATACAAAGGGACAAAGTGTCTAGAAGGGGCATTGACCTCACTTCGTAGAGATTTCCTCTTACTTCCTGTTGCAACCTTGGGACAGGAAGTGATGGTAAATCCCACCAATGGGGTTCAGACATTGCGAAATAAACTGACCGGGGTTTTAACCCTTCCCTAAACTATCCAATATGAAAAACTCCGAGATCAGCAAACATTGTCCTCATACCAGTCATGTGTATTCTTCATGAGTCTCAGTGAGCTTCGTGTATTTCTTCCAGATCTGTGCAGTAATCCCGTGTGAGACTCGGAGCTTCCTGTAATAAACACTGCTCACTGCCGCTCTCTCTCCTTGTGCAGGGTGACTGGTCTTGTCTCCGCCCCCTCCTGTAATAAAGACCGCTCAGTGCTGCTCTCTGACCTTGTGCAGGGTGACTGGTCTTGTCCACGCCCCCTCCTGTAATACAGACCAGTCACTGCTACTCTCCTTATGTAGGGTGACTGGTCTTGTCTCCGCCCCCTCCTGTAATAAAGACCGCTCAGTGCTGCTCTCTGACCTTGTGCAGGGTGACTGGTCTTGTCCACGCCCCCTCCTGTAATACAGACCAGTCACTGCTACTCTCCTTATGTAGGGTGACTGGTCTTGTCTCCGCCCCCTCCTGTAATAAAGACCGCTCAGTGCTGCTCTCTGACCTTGTGCAGGGTGACTGGTCTTGTCCACGCCCCCTCCTGTAATACAGACCAGTCACTGCTACTCTCCTTATGTAGGGTGACTGGTCTTGTCTCCGCCCCCTCCTGTAATAAAGACCGCTCAGTGCTGCTCTCTGACCTTGTGCAGGGTGACTGGTCTTGTCCACGCCCCCTCCTGTAATAAAGACCAGTCACTGCTACTCTCCTTATGTAGGGTGACTGGTCTTGTCTCCGCCCCCTCCTGTAATAAAGACCGCTCACTGCTGCTCTCTCTCTTCTTGTGCAAGGTGACTGGTCTCCTCTCCACCCTTTTGTGTAGTTTTCCCCCCCCCCCCCGTGCTTCAACTACAAATCCCAACATGCCTCTGCTTCTGGGAGTCATCCCTATAACGGTCAGTCTTGCAATGTCTCAAGGGACTTGTAGTTCCACAATAGCTAGAGGACCAGAGTGTGGGTGGAGCCTACTGAGACCATTCCACAGCTCCGCCCTCTGCCCGGGCTATGCGCAGCACAAGGATGATGTCGCTGCTACTTTACGAAGGTAAGAGCTGCATTGCAAAGGCATTTGGTGCACACAAAGTGGATTTACGTCCTTTGCGACTCATCAGGAATACATTACACCATGGGTAGCAAACCTCCGGCCCTCCAGCTGCGGTGGAACTACAAATCCCACGAGGCATTGCAAGATTCTCACAGCCACAGACATGACTCCCGAAAGAGAGAGATGCATCATGGGATTTGTAGTTTCCCCACAGCCGGAGGTTTGCTACCCCTGCATTACGCTGAAGATTTCCGGGAGTTCAGCTTGAAGATCCCACCGGCAAAAATAATGTGGAATTGTTCAAGAAACTTTTGGACGATTTCTTAAGGGACCGTAATATACAGGGGTACAGGTAACATACAGGGGTACAGGTAACATACAGGGGTACAGGTACTCCTAGAATGAGATCCTAATAGGTTGGACTTGATGGACTAATGTCTTTATTCAACCTCAAATACTATGTAACTATGTAGCTCCAGTTCTGAAGATTGGCTCCAACAGAGGAAGTTATCAGAGATTCGGTCTCTTTAATTTATCCGCCCCCCCGGGGACACGGGGTTCAATAGGGCCCGGAGGCGCAGAGGCCCTGATACACGGGATATGCGATCTGCGCTCCCATCCAATAATCAGCAGCGCAAGGAAGCCGCCGGATCATCTCATGACACGGAGACCTTATTTGTTGAATAAACATGACACCGGCTTCCTCGTTCCCTCGTGTCACGGAGTCCGGCCCGACACTCGATCCGGCCTGGCAGCGTTGCGGCCCGACGTGCTCACTCCAGATCTATGTCTTTAATTCGCCTTTAATTGCCCGCGTCCTCGCCGGCTCTGCGCAGACTATTCATATTTTTCCTCCATAAATCAGTGAAATAGAAGACTAGTTAAATGAAGAAAGCCAATTGAATATTTAATTACAGCTAATTATATCATATTAAAGCACCACGTCTATAAAGGACGCGCTGGCGGCATAAATCGCCGCTCCCCCAACTGGCAGCTTGGCTCCCGGCCATTAAAGGGGCAGGACACTCAAAAAAATCAATGGCTGGGTGAAACGGGATGCGTCAGTTCATCTGGATATAAAGAGCACCTGTAATCCGGCAATAAGGGGAGGGGAAATTAATCCGAGCGACCGCTACAAGCGCCGCCAGTGCTAGGACCTCGGGGATCCTCCCCCAAGGTGAAACAAATGTCCGGGTTGCGCACCGCTACACTTTATTTTAATTCAGTCCCGTTAAAGGAGAAGTATGGGGTCAGTGTTTTCCCCATAGTTCTTCTCAGGGTCACGGGAGGACACAAACTAGCGTCCTCCCGTCACCCTAGGCTCAGTATATAGGGAGCTACAGCCCGCGGTATACAGAGACCGCCGCAGCCGGGACGGATCCCGACATCAATGTCGAGATCCACCCGGCTGCGTGAGTGACAGCCGGCTCTGCCTATCTAGAGGCAGAGCCAGCTGTACCCGCCCCCTCCCCCGTCCGTTCCGCCAGTCAGCGCTGGAGGATCGGAGCAGGGAGGGGGGGTAATCCCTGCAACCCCCGTCCGTTCCGCCAGTCAGCGCTGGAGGATCGGAGCAGGGAGGGGGGGTAATCCCTGCAGGGAGCCGTGAGTGACAGTCACGGCTCTCTGCAGGGATAGATCGAGAAGTGAGCGAGCGACGGTATGTGTTCCCGATCTATTGAGCCGACCTGTGACAGTCTCATTGTCACACGTCGGCTCGAACTATGAGGCTGAGTGATTTTCACTCCCCCTCATAGTTCTTGACACTGCTACATGGTTAATCTGACATCATCACTCCTCCTCTGACGCGTTTCACCGTCAATCTGGCCATGTACCTGTTGTTTTTTTGCGTTCAGCCCCAAGAAAAGAAAAAAAGCATTTGATACCCCCGGGCACACAAAGGCCCCTTTTACGCGGGCTGATCAGGAGGGGGGATACATGCACAGATACCCCTCCTGATCGAACCGGTACACACTCGATCCGGCCTGGCAGCGTTGCGGCCCGACGTGCTCACTCCAGATCTATGTCTTTAATTCGCCTTTAATTGCCCGCGTCCTCGCCGGCTCTGCGCAGACTATTCATATTTTTCCTCCATAAATCAGTGAAATAGAAGACTAGTTAAATGAAGAAAGCCAATTGAATATTTAATTACAGCTAATTATATCATATTAAAGCACCACGTCTATAAAGGACGCGCTGGCGGCATAAATCGCCGCTCCCCCAACTGGCAGCTTGGCTCCCGGCCATTAAAGGGGCAGGACACTCAAAAAAATCAATGGCTGGGTGAAACGGGATGCGTCAGTTCATCTGGATATAAAGAGCACCTGTAATCCGGCAATAAGGGGAGGGGAAATTAATCCGAGCGACCGCTACAAGCGCCGCCAGTGCTAGGACCTCGGGGATCCTCCCCCAAGGTGAAACAAATGTCCGGGTTGCGCACCGCTACACTTTATTTTAATTCAGTCCCGTTAAAGGAGAAGTATGGGGTCAGTGTTTTCCCCATAGTTCTTCTCAGGGTCACGGGAGGACACAAACTAGCGTCCTCCCGTCACCCTAGGCTCAGTATATAGGGAGCTACAGCCCGCGGTATACAGAGACCGCCGCAGCCGGGACGGATCCCGACATCAATGTCGAGATCCACCCGGCTGCGTGAGTGACAGCCGGCTCTGCCTATCTAGAGGCAGAGCCAGCTGTACCCGCCCCCTCCCCCGTCCGTTCCGCCAGTCAGCGCTGGAGGATCGGAGCAGGGAGGGGGGGTAATCCCTGCAGGGAGCCGTGAGTGACAGTCACGGCTCTCTGCAGGGATAGATCGAGAAGTGAGCGAGCGACGGTATGTGTTCCCGATCTATTGAGCCGACCTGTGACAGTCTCATTGTCACACGTCGGCTCGAACTATGAGGCTGAGTGATTTTCACTCCCCCTCATAGTTCTTGACACTGCTACATGGTTAATCTGACATCATCACTCCTCCTCTGACGCGTTTCACCGTCAATCTGGCCATGTACCTGTTGTTTTTTTGCGTTCAGCCCCAAGAAAAGAAAAAAAGCATTTGATACCCCCGTGCACACAAAGGCCCCTTTTACACGGGCTGATCAGGAGGGGGGATACATGCACAGATACCCCTCCTGATCGAAGCGGTACGGGTGGGATGTCACCGGCGCCACCTCCGTATCCATCCAGTTTGCTCTGAAATGATCGGGCTCCGTGTGGGTCTATGGGGAATCGGATGTAAATGGACATGTGCCCGTTTACATCATATTACCCCCAATAGGGTCTAGACAGACCTGGCTGGAGTTGGGGGTAACTGGGTGGTGCCCCCGGACTTCATTTGGCAAACGATCAGGTGAACATTAAAAACTGAAAGTCAGACCCGATCGGACCCCCTGTGTGAAAGGGGCCTAAACACCATTGATGGCAGAATTCCCTTTTCTGAGCTATTGTATTCTGCTTGTATAATACCCCCCCCACCCCCCCCACCCCCCCATAGGGTAGACCGACATAAGTGGGACAATGGAATGTAAATTGTTATCACACTATAAAAACGTCTCACTATGATAGTAAATACTGTCTTATGTTACTACATGTTTATACTGCTGAATGCTTTGTGTTATATACACGGTATACTGTGTCACCCTGTGATGTCACTGGCTCCGGGTGAGGCCCCGTGCAACTAAACTGTATATAACAGACATTAAACTCGATTCACAAAGCTGGAGAAGAGTAATTATTATAAAGTGTATTTCCACATTTGCAGCCACATTAATATCTATTTATATTTGTGACATCTTCTCATGCACATTGTATAACTTAATACAAATATTTAAAAATTTCTTCTTACATTTTAAAGTGCTTTTAAAATGCCCCCCCCCCCCCCCCCACCCCTCCATAGGGACTGCAGACGAATGGCTGTAGCCACAGTTTAGCCGACAATTTCTGACCTGGCTCTATTGATGAGAGTCCCCTGAAAAATCGGCTTTTGTCGAATGTAGTGGTGCCGACAAAGCCCCGCACTGCGTCAGTGGGACTCGTCCGAAATGCACCATCCGCAGCCAATTCAGCACCCGTCTTCAAGAGGCACACCAGTGAGGGGGGCGGTGGGATCCCCATTGGATCAGCCGGAACCTGAGCACCGTGTGGCCATCTTTAGTCATAGAGCTCATACAAGAGGAGGGGAGGTGGAAGGAACACTCGGCTCTCCCAGTGATTACACTTTCTGTATACTCTGTTTTTAAGAACTGGTCTCACTCAGCCTTTTGCAAAAATGTGAAGCAAACCAAAACCAAAATTTCTGTCAGCCCGCCTTTCCTTAGATGTGGTGCCGGCATTAGTTCTTATTTTTCAGGATTTCATTCCTTTGTTGTCACCTAATCATCCTGCCAATTGTGCACTTCCTGTCCTATTTGACACCGCTCACTTACTGTACCAATCGAGGAGCAGTGTTGTCACCCTAGAACAGGAAATTGGTTAGGACTACAGAAGACTTCCCCCTAGCTTTGTAACATAGGGGGAGATATTCTGTAGTCTGCAGAGAGAGCTAGTTACAATGTTGCTTTGTAGGTTCATAAGAGATAGTTGAGAAATCTTAAGCATTGCTTGAGATTTCAGTTCAGTACAC